ATAGCTCCCTGATACCGTGGGAATTAGGGAGTTATCTACTAAGTGGCTGCAAGATGCAGCCGTGGCACGAATAGGATCGGAGTTTAATTAATTCGAATGAAATTCCGATCAGAACAAAGTTCCGAATTGCATCCTAACACGAATGGAGAAACTGTTCTCATTCTGTTAGGATGCAATTCGGTAGTTTCGCCGGCGTTCTGTCTAAATGACAGGACATTTGGGAAAAGTGAAAGGAGGCTTTGCGGGAAAACAAAGGAAAGGTGAGAATTGTGGGAAAATTGCTCTGACCACCGGAAATAAAGCACACTTTGAGATGGTCAGGCGTAGGAAAACTCCATAAGACAAATAGTCCCTACTTTGTCTTATGTTTTAAAGAAAACTAGAGCAGACAGGAAGAAAAGAAGAACATATCCTGACAGAGGAAGAGAAAAGGAATCGATTAAAGCAGGGGTTCCTAATTAATTTTTGCCATGGAATCCTTTGACATAGTGTATCAACATCGTGGAACCTCCCCCCGGAAACAAAAATTCTAAATTGCGCCGTTTTTTTGTATGTGCCGGTGTGTGTCAAGGTGTGTATATCTGTAAAATTATATAAGCAGATGGGGACCCCCTCACAAGGAGGAGTCAAGTTCCCCACCAAGACTACCTCGTGTGTAGATATCAATATAAATGCTTACATACAAAACAATTACATTTTATTAGGAAGCATAACAATTATATACACAGACTGTGAAAACCACCCAGTAATGTTCAAGTGATCAATAAGATAAAAAATAAGACTGTTTTTATAATAGCTATACATAGCAGATAGTACGGTCCTAAATGGGATAGGAAGTAGCAATCCCTATAGCTACTTAACTTAGCTGAATCAAATCAGAATGGGCTCCTGCAACAACGTAACAACTAATGTTCTCATTTGCAAGAATATGTATAAGAACAAAGTAACAGCCGTAGCTATGGACCTAATTATGATAAACTGCTCTAATGCTATGAGAGAACACTGTCCTTTGAATGAGTACGACAAAGTGACCCCTAGGCCCCTCTTCCCACTGTTAACAAAGGAGTAAAAAAGAAAAAAGCCCTTGTGAGGATAAACAAAAAGTCTATGGGTATAAAGTGTCCTTTATTAGAGTAGAGAGGACACATCATAATTACCCTTATATATCACAAATACCACGATAACCTGTCGTGATACGTATAGACTATACAAAATCTAAAGTATTCTGCCACAAATAGACCCAATCAACATAAGGGACTGACTCAAATAGATCCCAGCGAGATGGATGGATGGCGAAACAATCCTCAACAACATAAGGCTCCCGGTAAAGGGGGTCACAAAGTCTAAAACCACCTAGGTTAAAAAGGGAATAAAGATGTCCATACCTTTTCCACACATGGCAGCTTAAATAAAGCCACTAGAGGGTAATAACCCTTGAATGATCAAAGGGAAAAAACCTCACAACATGCGGCTACAAAGACTGCCAAGTGGAAGGGGGCTAATTGCCTAAATGGTACTACTATGGAGGTGTAACCCAAAGATGTAGGGAATACCCCACTCAGATATATAACCCGTAGTAGTACGAGGTGGTGTAAAGCAAGGAATGTTGCATTCCAAAATAAATTGAAACGATCGGAGAGGAGTGACAGAGGAAAATAAAGGTTGAATATGTCGAGGAAAAAATCCTCAGAAATTAGACAGGCTTCTAGTATAGAATTCACATGTAGACAGTATTTCTAAGGGACCCAAAGGGGAGCTCAGCCGGCAAGAGCTATCCCTCACTCAAACAAAGGACAAATTCAAAAGAAAAAAAGAAAAACAGTCTTAAATAAGTGAAAATAAAAACAAGCTAAAGCTGAGAATTGTGTGTATTTCAATGTCCAAAAGGCCCCTCCCTTGTAAGTGGGATGGACCATGTTACAGGGGGATCCACCAATCCACTAAATAGAGATGGATATTACCTTTTCTGTGTATATAATTGTTATGCTTCCTAATAAAATGTAATTGTTTTGTATGTAAGCCTTTATATTGATATCTACACATGAGGTAGTCTCGGTGGGGAACTTGACTCCTCCTTGTGAGGAGGTCCCCATCTGCTTATATAATTTTTCTGTATTTCTCCTAGGGCCAGGCCCTTCACTACCTCGGTAACCCTTTTCAAAACCCCTGTCCAGTAACCCTTTTCAAAAAGACTTTACCATGATATTTATTTAATTGTTTTACTATAGCTTTCTGTATGTGCTATTATATGTAATTGTGCATGATCGTAGCCCACTTCCGGAAGTGACGTCACGCGCACGAGACGTCATGCGTGATGACGTCATGGTATCAGGGATATCGGAAGCAGCTGGGCTTCACACTAGGGCTAACGCCGTGATTGGATGTATCACGGACGTTTCCCTCCAATCAGCCCCCTATTATGGGGTATTTAAACTCCGGTTTAGCAGCATTATGTTCACCAATTGATAAAGCCGAACAGTATATCGGCGAAACGCATCTTGGACACAACACTGGCACTTGAGTATACAGATTTTATTTGTTTTTAATAAGTTGCAATAAATGTTTATTCCTGTTACCAAGTTGACTAGTGATATATTTATGCTGCTATCAAGAAGGGAAGTGTCACTCTATAATTGACACTGTGCTTATACACTTGGAGCTTAGTTAAAGGCTCCTGATAAGGTGAGAAGTAAATTGTTATTTTTCTCACCTGATTACCTACTATATTAAGGATATCTGCACTAGGGTTAGCTCTGCTTCCCTATTTCTCCTATTTTTGTCTCCATTCTGAGGTTTCTCATTGAATATGGCGATTTAAAGGATTTCATTACCATCATTTCCATTACCTCCTGAAAGTTGCAGGAGTAAGTGTGTGTTTTTATTTTCAAGCGCTCCACCTTTGCACAGTTTTTTGCATGTATTTGCACTATAGTGTTTTTTCCTATACATCTGATTATAAGTAGGTTGAAGAGTTCCTACTTTTGGTGTGTAAGCTGCTATTACTATACTGTGTATTGTATTATATTCACATTCTCTAAGCGCCTTTTACACAGCACATTTATCTTTTACTTTTCTGGACTGGTGGCTGTTTTGTATATATACTGTGTGTATATCTGTGCTTGTATGTGCCACACACTGGCAGATAGTGGCACGCAGATACACACACTGACACAGATACACATACAGTGTGTATCTGTGTGTGTATGTATGTATCTATCTGTGTGTCAAGGTGTGTGTATCTGTGTTTGTATGTGCCGGTGTGTGTTTAGGTGTGTATCTCTGTGTCAGTGTGTATCTGTGTGTGTGTGTGTAAATGTATCTGACACACAGATATACACACACACCTTGACACACAGATAAACATTAATACACACATCTTGACTCACAAATACACACACACTCAGATACACACAGTGACATACACACACTTGCACCCACAAATACACACTGACACACTCAGATACACACACACACACAAACAAGCACATACACACAAGCACACACACACACACACACACACTTTGATACACACAGTGACACATACACAAACCTTGACACACAGATACACACATTGACACACTCAGACACACATACTCTTTGACAGAAACACATACTCTCTTACTGACAAACACACATACTCTTTGACAGACACACATACACTCTCACTGACAAACACACACACACAGTCTTTGACAGACACACATACACTCTCACTGACAAACACACACACTCTTTGACAGACACACATACACTCTCACTGACAAACACACACACACACACACACACTCTTTGACAGACACACATAAACTCCCACTGACAAACACACATACTCTTTGTATATGTGTCTGCATGTGTGTCTGTCACTCTCACTGACAAACACACATACTCTTTGACAGACACACATACAAACACATATACACTCTCACTAACAAGAATAGATACATTCTCACTGACAAACACATACCCTCTCACACACTCTCTGACAAACACACATATACTCTTTGACAGACACACAAACCCATACAAACTCCCTAACAGACACACATACATTTTTTTTTACATTTTACTCCACCCAGCCCCCCTACCTTTAGGAGTGCTGGCATGGAGTCCCTGTGGGGCTACTGGGTGACTGGTGAGCAGTCCTTGGGGTCCAGTGGGGCTGCTGGTGAGCGGTCCCTGGGGTCCAGTAGGGCTGCTGAGCGGCTGTCGTGCGGCCGGTGAGGGATCAGTGATCAGCTGAGCAGGGAGATCACTGCTCCCTGCTTCCTCGCTGCCCGCAGCCATTTTGTTTAGAAATTTTTTGGGCGGAACACCAATTGGGAAACGCTGGATTAAAGAAAGGTGAGTTCGGCATGACAGTGCCACTTTAATGATTTCCCCTACTTCTTATTGTACTCCATCAACTTCTCTGGCCCCCTTATCTGTGAAATGTGGTGCACATCATATTCGACCAGCATCTGAAGGTCATTTAAAGTAAACCTGTCATGTCAAATTCATTTTAACATAAATGCCCCCCCAATACATTGAATACATCATACCAGAAATGTATTCAATGTAAAATTTTGAGATGTTCACTCACGATACTTCTGATCCAGCTCCAGGTTTTTCTTCCAGTATATACATTTGCTAGCAGGTCTGCTAACTCAATGTATGGATGAAAGTTAAAAGGACACTATAATCACCAAAACAACTGTAGCTTAATGAAGTAGATTTGGTGTATAGATGATGCTTCTGAAGTTTCACTGCTCAGTTCACTGACATTTAGGAGTTAGATCACTTTTGTTTCTGTTTATGCAGTCCTAGCCACACCTCTCCTGGCTGTGACCAACACAGTTTTCATGGAAAGAAATGGTTTTATTTTCAACCAGATGTAACTTAGTTTACATTTTTTGTATCTCCTGCTCTGTAAATGGAACTTTAATTACATACAGGAGGGTTATAAAGGTTCTAGCTCTCCTAAAATGACATTGTTATACCATACGATTTAATGCATATTTCCTCCTATTTTGAAATAGATAAAGTAAGTTTGTAATGCTTAGCTTAGGAAGGAAATGTGTTCAGCTCCACCCTATCCATGTACGAGAAATGACATTGTATTATTTTTGCACATTGTCAGAAAAGCCGTGAGAATGGAACCATCTATAACATTATTCATTACTCTGACAGTCCTGGCTCTCTTTTGGGGTAGGTTCGGTTTTATTTATCACTAAGAATTATAATGTATTATGTAATTAAAATGAAATCCACACTAACCACTAGATACATCATACAAAAACTGCTGCACACAATTATTATTATTATTATTATTATGATATTTATAGAGCAACGTCAAATTCCGCAGCGCTTTACAATGGGTAGACAAACAGACATGTAGTTGTAACCAGACAAATGGACACACAGGAACAGAGGGGTTGAGGGCCCTGCTCAATGAGCTTACATGCTAGAGGGAGTGGTGTAAAATGACACAAAAAGGTAAGGATAGTGATATATTTGATAGTGATAGAGGCAGCAACATGCTATAAATTATATTAACTGCTATATTTGTAAACTTTAAAAAACAGCTAATTTTGGATATTTTGGCTTAAAATGTGAAATTAGCACATATTCACTATCAATTTCCAGAAATTCACACTTTAGACAAATCCTGTTAGATTTATAGGGGAAAAACATGCAAACACACCCACCAAAAAGTATTTTTGTAATAAGTGTATATTTTCTAGTGTTTCCAAAGTCAACAACCTTAAATATAAACCCAACAAACCATAGGACAGTAAAGTCTGTACTACACGTTCAATAAAACCAATATCCATACCTCCCAACTGTCCCTATTTAAGTGGGACAGTCCCTATTTTGGGGCCAAATCTCTCTGTCCCTCTTTTCTAGGAGCTCCATATTGTCGGTGTGTCTGAGTGTATAGCAACACTAATAATACTCAAAGCAATGTGTATTTAAACTACAATAAATATGTTTAGAAATCTGTCTATATTCTAAATGACATATTAATTGGAGAAATTGTTACAAGTAAGTCACCAATAAATTCTCAGAACCGCCCTGCCACTGGCCACCCACCAACTTAAAACTCTAAAACGAGTGTCCCTCTTTATTTGTTTGAATTGTTGGGATGTATGCAAATATCAAAACACACTTTTAGACTCCTCAAAACCTGAAGTCATGATACAAAAAATGAACAATAAAACATGGAAAAGTGAATGGCGCTTACACAATAGAAAGAACACAAAGGTGGTGGTGGAAAAAGTGTTCCCCAACACCTTAAATACAAAGTATGAGATAGAAAATATATTGACACTGAATATACAAATGCCAAAGAAATCCACACACCACTCTCTTAGTCCCAAAAAGGTGAGTGTATACAATACTTGTAAATACAGCGGTATATGCTGGTAGTATTCCGTATACTTGGACCCTACAATAACATAGAACAGTACATAGTGTAGACTGTAAATGGTAATAACAATAATAAAAATAAATGGATCCACTCACGAATTTCAGAGCCGTGCCAGGCTCTGTGTAGAATGCCCAAGGGTGCCTATACAGGCTAGATGCAAAATCTTCACAATATCCCTCAGAGGTAGGAGAAACAGCAAAGATGATAGAAAGATGAATAAATTTATTGCAAATAAAAATGTATAAAAACAACTGAACAAGTTGTATAAAATAATGCAAAAAGCAATACAATGTGTGAACGGCTCTGAAATTCGTGAGTGGATCCATTTATTTTTATTATTGTTATTACCATTTACAGTCTACACTATGTACTGTTCTATGTTATTGTAGGGTCCAAGTATACGGAATACTACCAGCATATACCTCTGTATTTACAAGTATTGTATACACTCACCTTTTTGGGACTAAGAGAGTGGTGTGTGGATTTCTTTGGCATTTGTATATTCAGTGTCAATACATTTTCTATGATACAAAAAATGCAAATGTATTTAGTGAATTCTTACTATAGTGAGAATTTATAAAAAAAAATGCAAAAAAATGGGGAAGTTTTGGCAATAATAAAATATGCATAATATGTCCAGCTTAGGAAAAGTAATTCAAAATCAATTCATTTGTGTGTCTTGATTTACAAAGTACATAATATGTGTAGGATTTCAGTTTATTTTGAAAGTTACAGGTCACAAACTACAAGGTCTAAAATAAAATTTCAATGTGAAACAATTTTAGAAGTTGGTATGTTTGTCTTGGAAGTTTAATACCAATTACAGAACACAAAATTATATATTTATATAAAGTAGACATCGCAGGCTGTTTAGCTAAGGTTATTTTGACACTTTCTACGTAGCCATTTCACCGCCAATCTCTGCTAAATATTGGAGTAAAATTGTGTTTTTTTCCTTATTTTGGCATGTACATATATAACAAGGTTTTTCTAATGTGTATTTTGTAAAGCCGATGTGTGCTATTCCTGCACAGAACCCCATATTATGTTCAGCTACATCTGCTGAGAACAACGATAGCCCCATTTTATACCTTTGCCCCTATTCTTTGCCCAATGTATGACCTAGACACTAATTTGTGAAGTTACAGTGCTGTAAAAGAGACGTGACAAGATCAGGTTTTTAAGTGTCAATTTATATGGAAGGTTTTAATGTGTCTGTATTCTATTTTGAAATATGTTAGCAGGCTGCTTTTTCCAACTACCCCAAAAAGGCATACTATTTCTTAAGGAAGACACCCGAGGGTATTTCAAAAAGCATATTTTGAACCTTAGCGTGGGATCATTTTTCCGCTAGCTTGTATCAGGTGTAGTGGTAATAAGCATTTTTTCTGCCTTTTTGACACACAGTGAGTTTGTACTGTATATTTTGCAAACCTTATATGTGCTATGGCTTTATAATACTTCATATGTTGCTCAGCTATGTTGTCTGAGTAAAGCAATACCCCCATATGTACCTTTGCTAGGTATATGTGGACTTTGAAGGGGCACATTTCAGACACAGCCATTTAAGATTTTTTCAAACTTCAAATTTTTACGCTGGGTCCATACCCCACTTTGGAGTTTTTTTTTGTAGGTTAATTATTCCAGCTACCCCATAAAGGCATACCATTTCTTAAAGAAGACACCCTAGGGTATTTCAAAAGACATATTTTGAACCTAAGCATGAAATAATTTTTCCGCTAGCTTATACCAAGTGTTGTGGTAATAAGCATTTTTTATGCCTTTTTGACATACACGAGTGTGTAATATATATTTAGCAAACCTTATGTGTGCTACAGCAGTGATCTGTCCACTTCCATTATTTGCTTTAAAGTTCCCTACATGATTCTTATGGGTGGGGTGGTAAGCCGCTTCCTCTTTAATTCAATGGCTGTCCAGTCGCTTAAATAGTAGACATACCCTCACCTGCTTTATAACCACTGGATGAACAGAGAGGTAAAATGCCTCCCTTATATCGGGATCTTATTGTTCCCACATGCTTTATATTATTTTTTTTTTTTTTACTATTTAATGTGGTGGCTGGCCATAAGTGATGACCAGCCACCATATACTTAACCCTGGCTGAGGATTTATTGACTATTTGCCCATTGGCTGACAGTGGACAAATAGTTTGGATTTGTATTCAATTCAAGGACAACTTTATTTTTTTTTAAAAAGTGTATTACAATTTACATTTCCTATTATTATTTTAAATAAATCTAACAATAACACTGACTGTCTCTTGCAACTTTTTTTTTCTTTTCTCTAGCGTTTGCAAACTCATGCTCGATCTCTGTTTCTCCCCAAAATGTGGCCGCTCGTTATGGAGATACAGTGATCTTAAACTGTACATCAGACTGTATCAATCTGCGTTGGAAAACTCCAGCGATTCAGAATTTTAAAAGAGGCCCTCACTGGTTGGTACTAAATATAAGCAACTATGACGGATGGGAGGCAAATTCAATCTGCTTTGTAGATGAAAATTTTCTAGCAGAAGTGAAAGTTTTGTTTTACAGTAAGTATCCATCTAATTAAATGGTGGGTTATACGGTCATGCTCCCTAGAATAGAACTGGGAGGTAACAAAAGTAATTAGAATGGAATTAGGGGGTCACACAGGCAATTAATATATAACTGAGAGGTATGAAATTGGGAGGCCACACACACATAATTAGAATGGAGTTAGGGGGTCGCACAGATAATTAGAATGGAGTTAGGGGGTCACACAGATAATTAGAATGGAGTTAGGGGGTCACACAGATAATTAGAATGGAGTTAGGGGGTCACACAGATAATTAGAATGGAGTTAGGGGGTCGCACAGATAATTAGAATGGAGTTAGGGGGTCACACAGATAATTAGAATGGAGTTAGGGGGTCACACAGATAATTAGAATGGAGTTAGGGGGTCACACAGATAATTAGAATGGAGTTAGGGGGTCGCACAGATAATTAGAATGGAGTTAGGGGGTCGCACAGATAATTAGAATGGAGTTAGGGGGTCACACAGATAATTAGAATGGAGTTAGGGGGTCGCACAGATAATTAGAATGGAGTTAGGGGGTCACACAGATAATTAGAATGGAGTTAGGGGGTCACACAGATAATTAGAATGGAGTCTAATTAGAGTGGAATTGATGGGGGGACGGTTACAAAAGCAGTTTATATGGAATTGGGGAGTTTGCTAACTAGTATAGAATTACTATTAGAAAGACGTGTTCACACAGATCATTTGTGTAGAATTAGGGGCTAGCAGACTTCGGCTAAGCGACTAGAGTCATCTTATAATGAGTTACATTTCATTATCAGGTCAAAGTTATTATTATTTACACTTCTTTTTCAGGTAAAATGTATAAAGTTTTTTTTCTTTTTAAAGATTAAAAATAGCACCATATTCATACCAGGAGAAAAATGCTAAGAAATTTTCCTAATTACTATATAAACTATATATATATAAATCATCATATCCTTGTCTTTCTATCATTACATTACCAAAGTGGAAGGTCTTACAAGAGTATACTCACTCTCAGGACTCTCTATTCTATTCTATCCACGTGGCTTGCTATAATTAAAAATGTAGCATGGCTTGCCTCACCAAACCCATTAGGAATGCTTAGAGGAAGATGGTTTAAGGCACTTGTCCAACGTCAGCATATCACCCCCCTCTAGGTGCCATTTGGACCCCTTATTGGCTGGCCCATGTAAGTAGTATTGAATCAGGGTGTCACACAAGTAAGACATTTAGAACTGAGGAGTGACACAGATAACTTTAAAAAGTTTAAGTATTCACTAAACTTGGAAATTAGTGTTGTTGGGTCATCGTAGAAGTTTGGAAGTGGAGGATCACATAGATTTTTAGAATAAAATTGTGGATTACGCAGGTATTATGGGTAATAATCACAAACTTATTAGGTAATTAGTAAGGAGCTGGGAGTCAGAGTGCACACAGTTCATTAGTAAGGAATCGGCGATTCGCACAAATTGAGCGGGAGGCTGCACTGTTAATTAGTAAAGATTTGGAAACAACACATTTAATTAATATGGTATTGGGAAGCCCACTGATATTTGGTTTGGGATTGGAGGCATGAATGATAATTAGCATGTAATTAGAGCCAGATGTGAAATTACTGCTAGTAGCCACTTAACACCAACTTTTAATCTCTATATACAGTTTGAGAGTTTTTGTTTTTGTAAAAAGGACACTATAGGCAGCTTTTTTCCACTTTACGGCCTGCCTGGAAAAAATATGTTTAATTTTATTTTTTTTCCTTCCACAAACGTACTGAATTTAAAACCAAATAAACATTTCTCCAACCAAAAGTCTTCAGAAATAAAACTTTTCAGAAACTTGAAGTGAATCAATTCGGAAGAACCAAAAGTATTTGCAATGCACAAGTCTAGTAATGAGTTTGGAATTGGAGAGTAACACTGACAAATTAATAATAGGTTAATGGGGTCACATTGGTTATTAATGGAATAAGTATTCACACAGCATACACAATATACAGTTAGCATGGTATTGGGGTGCGTGATCATATTGGTAATTGGTATGAAATTGGAGTAATTATTGTGGATTTTTGTCATATTTCTACTAATAATTTTCACAAATGTCTGAGCATTCTAATCTACATTTGTATTGATAATTGCAATCCTGTGCAACTCTTTTTTTGCAACACCCAGATTACTGTTCATTGGTGTTGCCTCATTTACTTAAGGGTCTGCATATATTAGGTTTATTTTTAGATTGTGCACTCAATGCACTCATGTTAGGATCTTGTGAAAGAGAGTGATGAAATGTGTGTCTTACAAACTTATCAAACTTATTTAATGTTTGTCATATGATCAGTTTTAACCACGGGGTAAGATTATTTAATCTTTGTTTTTTAATTTATACTCGTCATCTCCCTAATTTGCCACGTGCCCCCTCATCAGCTTGAGGGAGCATCATGTTCTGTACCTCTATTGGGTGCAGATCACAGTATTTGTTGCCTTGTGGTACTCCAGCACTTCCCAGTGAATCAGAGCACTACAGCCAGTGCTCTGAGTCACTGTCTGAGTGTCAGATTGTGAGGGAGCCTTTAGAGTGACCTGTTATTGATGAAGACCACAATGTTCTACCACAGGAGCACTTATACAGAAAGGGGGAAATTGTGGTGAAAAGAATACATGGCAAAAAAAACCCCCGAAAAGTCCTTGGTCACAATGCATTGCATCTCAGAAAAACCTTGGTCATTAAAGGGTTAATCTTACTTTATTAAATATGAAATATGAAAATTGCCATTGTGATCAGAATCCTGTCAAAATCCAGTGTTTAGTGTATAACCCTGTTAGTGATTCTGACAGATTAAAGGGACACTATAGTCACCGGAACAACTAAAGTTTAATGTAATTGTTCTGGTGACTATAGTCAGTTCCTGCAGGTTTTTTACAGTAAACACTGTTTTGTTTTTTTTTGCAGTGTTTACAGCTTATGTACACCTCTAGCGGCCACTCCTCAGGTGGCTACTAAAGGTGTTTCCTGGTATTCAGTGTCTTCACCCTGGAGACACTGAACGTTCCTCGTTGAGATGCTGATTGGCCATTGCTGTGTTTGGCTTGTGCTGGCTCTGCCCTGATCGTTGTTGCACTATTATTGTTTTATTTTTTCCTGGATGCACGTTCATTGTGCTGCAGATTCTCAAACCAACTTTAACCAATCTGATATGCCTACAATCAAACATGTGTGTGAGAGTGCATTATAAGGAATTTGTGTTTATAGTGTATTAACTTTATTACCCTATGAGATCTGTTTTGTTTTTACTGTAGATATTTTCTGTTTTCTACCCCCTGATCGGCCTCCTTGGCAGTTTTTGATGATGTCAGCCAATGAGACAATCAGGGTCAGAGCCAGCAACAGCAGACTGGTTTGGGTAAGAGTTTACTATATTTAGGGGAATAAAAGGGTTCGGGGGGCTAGATTGTGTTTTTAATACTATAACAGTCAAGAATACATGTTTGTGTTTCTGACCCTATAGTGTTCCCATTATTAAAGATACCCTTGAGCTTTTATGACCATTAAGCAGATCCAAAAAACTTGTTCTGTCTGTGTTTGTTTGCTCTGTTTAACCCCTTAACGTCGTTACAACGTTCAATGCCGTCTCGCTTTAATTGGGCGTTAAAGCCTTTGCGGCGGCATAGAACGCCCTAACGGCTTTGAGCCCTGGAGCGCCTGGTATACTCACCTTACCGGCGCTCCGCTTCGGGAGGACTGCCTGACAGCTCAGGCAGCCCTCCCCCGGCAAAAGAAGCCCCCTGGGGGCCATGTGATCACTCTCAAAGAGTGATCACATGGCCCCCTATAGCTGGCTGTGGATCTGCCAGCAGGGGGACTGTCTGAAATGTCAGACAGTCCCCCTGCTGGTGGGAGCTGTAAAAAAAAATATATTAAACATGTTTTAAAATAAAATAAATATATTTATATATATATAATATATGTATATATATTAAATATAATATATATACATATTATATATATGTAACATCATACAAAGTGTATTTTAATACTAATATAAGTACATATATTAGTATTAAAATACACTTAGAATGACGTTAATTATATATAATATGTATATATCTATTATGTATAATTACAATAATAAATAAATAAATTAATAAAATAAATAAATAAAATATTGAAACAAAATTTTATATAAATTATATATTCATATGTAATTTAATTCTAACTGTATTTTGTTATTAATATATATATATATTGGTAACAAAATACACTTAGAATGACATTCTCTATATATCTATCTATAGATAAAATACAAATAACTGCAAATATATATATATATATATATATATATATAGATAGATAGATAAATACATATAATTACATAAAAGATTACATTAGTATACACGTAGAATTTATATACCTATAAATGCATATATATTAAAATTCTACATGTATATTTAAGTAATCTTTTAACATAATTATGTGATTTGATTAATTAAAATTTGATTGACATGCCTGACAACAAAGGGAGAAAGTGCAGAGAATTTAATTCACAAGCACTATATTTGACCCTGTAACTCTCCAAGACACCATAAAACCTGTACATAGGGGGTACTGTTTTACTCAGGAGATTTCGCTGAACTCAAATATTAGTGTTTCAAACTGATAAATTGTATTACAACAATGATATTTTAAGTAAAAGTTAAGTTTTTTGCATTTTTTACAAACGAACAGCACTTTTATGGACTATATTATTGTTGTAATATGTTTTACTGTTTTAATACACTAATATTTGTGTTTAGTGAAGTCTCCTGAGAATAACAGTACCCCCCATGTACAGGTTTTATGGTGTTTTTGAAAGTTAGAGAGTCACATATAAGGCTTGCATTTAATTTTTTTGACATTGAAATTTGCCAGATTGGTTATGTTGCCTTTGAGAGCGTATGGTAACCCAGGAATGAGAATTACCCCCATGATGGCATACCATTTGCAAAAGTAGACAACCCAAGTATTGCAAGTGGGGTATGTCCAATCTTTCTTAGTAGCCACTTAGTGTCACGGTTCTCACCGCAGCAAACAGACGGCCAGACATGGTCACCCGTGGAGATCCCAACAAGGGACTTGAACCGGGGAACTTGACAGTCCTGGTCCTGCTTCCTACCTCTGAGCCACAGCAGCTTTTGTATTCTGCAAGTCATTCTGGTCCTGTTCATCCTGGCTTGTCTATCACTCTGGGGGCTGTACCTTGAATTTGGCTGTGCTGCACCTGAACCTGATCAGACATTAGCAGGGTATTTAAACTCAGCCTCGCCCTGTGATCAGGATCAAGTCTTTGATCCTGTTGTGTGCTTTGTACCAGTGTTCCTGTTGTTTGAACTGCTACTTGTTATTGACCCCGGCTTCTGACTACGTTTACTCTGACCTCTGGCATCCCTTGACTTCGGCTACTCCTTGTTGTTCCTGTCTTCTGGCATCCTTTGACCTCGGCTATCCTTTGACGATCCTGCTGTTTGAGTCCTTGCCTGTCCTGCGACTTGGTACTTCATCCTGCACAGCCCCCGTGCACAGACCCACAGGCCGGGTGAATTCTTACCTGACCACCTTGGCCTGTGGCTATCTGCAAGGGTGAGCAACATATCTGCGCTACAGACTCCCAACCCAGGTAAGATCCTGACACTTAGTCACAAACACTGGCCAAATATTAGTTTTTTGCTTTTTTTCACACAAAAACAAATATGAACGCTAACTTTGGCCAGTGTTTGTGACTAAGTGGCTACTAAAAAAGACTAAACATACCCCACTTTCAATACCTTGGGTTATCTACTTTTGCAAATGGTATGCCATTATGGGGGTAATTCTCATTCCTGGGCTACCACACCGTCTCAAAGGTAACATTACTAATCTGGCAAATTTCAAATTGAAAATGGAACGTTCTATATTTGACCCTGTAACTTTCTAAAACACCATAAAACCTGTTAATGGGGGGTACTGTTGTACTCGTGAGACATCGCTGATTACAAATATGTGCATTTTTTGCAATAAAACCTAACATTATGACATTTATAGCTACAATGTCAGACGGAAATACAAATTTTTAAAAAAATCTTATTTTCTCACATTTTTTTTTCATTTTATTCATAATAAATTATGTTCCATATATGAATAGTTAATGATAAATTAAAGCCCTGTTTCTCCTGAACCAAATGATATATATTAAGTGTGGGTGCACGTAATGTGACAGCGGTGAATTGGGGTTGAACAGACATATAGCGCAAATTCCAGTTTTTGTTTACGTTTTGTTCTGATCAGAACGTGCACTATTGACTCCGTTCTGAAGGGGTTAAAGGGAGATAGTCAGACAAACAATTTGCCATTTCCATTTTTTCTTTAATTTTTTTTATGGCAGATGTATCCACATCGATGCATTTCCCGAAGATGGTTTCGGACAAAGATGATGTTTTGATTCTCTGTAATGTGTCTAGCCGTGTTGGCAGTATGCCAGCATTAAACTTAAATTTGACACTGAGTATTGAAGGCAAAATCCTAAACTATACTAAAGAAGATGCTATATTATACAAGCTGAGAGCTGCCCCAAAGCATCATTTGAAGGAAATCTTGTGTAAAGCTGAGATCGAAGTCTTCGAACAGAAATTCTCAGATAGGACCAAAGATCGGCTGTATGTCCTGTGTGAGTATTCATTATTTATTATTGTATTGCACTTGTTACAGCCTTGTTACAGTGCAGCTATCTCATCATATTGTTTCCAATATTAAAAGTTAATTGATTTGTAAGGTTTATAAGAAACCCTCTTCTGTCTTGTTACATAGTTGCATAGGCTAAAAAGAGACACGTGTCCATCACGTTCAGCCTTCCTCATATCCCTTCAAAAGAGGGATGATCTATTTTGGAAACTTTCTCTAATGATTACATTGTAACCGCAGCTGGTTCCCTTATTTACCTCTATAATGTCTTAAAGCATGGAACTTAGTAGGGCTAACCATACAGCTATCTTAGCCATAATTTTATATAGTTAGTGTAAGAGATCCTCTATTTAAAATATATAAATAATTGAGAATACAATATAAAATAAGGATTGTCTTGGAAGTAATAGTTTTGTCTTTTAGATATTTATTACATAAAAATATAAATATAGACATATAAAATCCATTATAGCAGAGTTTATAAGATTAAACTAAATGTTTGCAAATATCATTAATAGGTTAACATACCCTCCTAAACATGTCATCATGTCAGCCGCTCTGTTATTTTAATATGGAGCAGCGTCTGTCTCCAAGTCTCTCCTCTGTGTCTTAACATTTAAAAGTACACCTATTTATACCTTAGGTGTCTCCATTTTAGGTTACCGTAGTTCAAATATGAAAAAGTAACACTTCTTTTACTTTATTCATTTTAGGACCTCCCTTAACTTGGCAAACAGACAAGGCCATAACTAAAGGGTGCATACGTCATGGAAATTTTCCTGACTTAGTTCAAGATGGCATCTTAAAGTCTGAACATCCTAACTACTAAGGTTACCACAGTATATTGTGTACTGAAAGAGTCGTAGCATAGCCATGAAGCTTGTTTATGCATTATTATTGTAATTCGTCTGGGACAAAATGGCGCAAACATAATATGCACTGAGGTTATTGCTTAAAGAAACATCTATGAAAAACAATATGTTCCATTTCTAACACCTTGTCAGTTTGCAATATCTCTTAAAGACAAAGTACACAGTTTAAGAAATAAAACATTTCATTCTAAAACTTGTAACATTTGCTCATAACAACATTTTGCCCAATTAATGTCGAAGGCTTGAACACTATATATATATATATATATATTTACCACATTAAAACAAGAAAACATAGCTATAGCACTGGTTCACAAAACCCAGTGGGCAAATTCACAGAAAAAGAATAAACTAGATAAAAACTATCCTCATCAATTTATGTCTTGTTACAAAAATGAAAGTAGAGGCACTTTAATTTTAATAAAAGATATAGCTACACTTAAGATTTTGCACAAAAAAAATAAATAAAGAAGGAAGATTTATAATTGTTTGTAAGATTAATAATAAAAAAAATCACAATTGTTAATATTTATGCACCTAATGAAAATGCACTCACATTTTTTGAATCGCTTATGACTCAAATTTATAGAATTGTACAGGGATATCTCATTTAAGGAGAAGATTTTAGTACTATTAGTGATGTCAATTTAGACAAAAAAACTACACCAAGGCAAAACACTTAACAAGAAATAGAGAATTGGAGCAAAAAGTTTTTTATAATTTCCAAGAGACATGGTCTTTATGATATCTGGAGGACTTTAAACCCTTCTTCTTGTACTAATTATACTTTCTACTTAGCTCCCTATTGCTCCTATTCTCGAATAGACTTATTTCTAACTAAAAGCTATTTATTTATTATAAAGCTAAACTGTAAAATATCGAATACAATGTGGGCAGATCATGCCCCTATTTTTCTAACTATAAAAATATCAGTAAATCGTACTTCAAGAGAATGGAGAATGAACAAGCTATTAATAAAACAAAACCACATTAAAAATCTAATTACAAGAGATAAAAATTACTACATTGAAAATGATGACAACTATAAAACCAAACAAACAATATGATTAAAGGCAGTTATAAAAGGTCACATGACAAAAAAATTAGCTCATGCAAAAGAGAAAAAGTGGATTAACATATCAACAATTATACATGAAACTAGCCCAATTAGAAAATGAAATCATTGCGGGTCGCCGCCCCTTGTAATAAAAACTGTCCGGGCACCCCAGGGGGGCTCAAGGGTGGCCAGCTGGCCAGCTCTTGAGCTCCCATATGCAAAGGTTAACAAGGTATTTGCCAGGGCACTTGGGGGGGAGAGGCGGCGGCGTTTTTTGACTATCTCTGTAAAGTGCAGCCCAAGGCAAATGACTTGTTAGCCTTCCAATAAATACAGCACTGCATATAATCAAGGAAGTACAATAGTTTGAATACAGGAAACCTCTTATATTCACTGTTTAAGTTACTGCTGTTTCACTTAACTAAACTTAACAATAGCCATCCAATTAAATTGCGTGCCGTTCTGAGTAACGTTGTGAACCGTGTGGTCCCGATAAGGACATTATTTATCTCTTTTGCCCAGTGTATCCATGCTGTATATGTTTAAGTATTTTGTTTGATGAATACAATAGCTATTGCTGCCACCCAGGAGTAGTTTGAGATTGAGCACAGGGCTTAATTTTGTGTGCTGTATGTACTACTCAACCATTAGTCACTAATAGTGATGTCGCGAACCGTTCGCGAACTTTTCGCGAACGGTTCGACGCGGTTCGTGGCGAACTCCGGTCAGCTGACACATCCCGGCCAATCTCCAGCAGACCCTCCCTCCCAGACCTTCCCACCTCCTGGACAGCATCCATGTTGAAGCTGCCTTCTCGAAAAATTCGCGAACGGTTCGCGACATCACTAGTCACTAAGTAGCCATCTTGGTTATCAGATCAACTCTTACGGCATTGCATTGCATGTGTTCAAGTAACCCCTATTTTGCTTATTAATGGCTCCACAGTGTAAGAGTAGTGGCCCAACACTATATCACACTTTGAGAGAATAGTGACTCAACACTATATTACATCTATTGGCATTCACCTCACTATAATAAGGCATTGCATAGTATAATGTTTTTTAGAGATTACATAATAGATATGTTTCAGTGCTTATAGTGTCCCTTTAATACCGCAAACAACGCTCTTAATAATATCATTTTGTTTTTAGATGGGCCAACTCAGGTCAATGTCACTTCTGATCGGACAACGTTTGTGGCAGGGGAAAATGTTACATTGAGATGTTCAGGTGACGGAAATCCCCCCGGAGAGTATTTCTGGAACATTCCGAATAACAGAAGTACTACATTTACCGATGATAAACGTTCCCTTGTTGTTTATTTAGCATCAGAAATGGACAGTGGGAAATATGAATGCACTGTAGAAAATAACTTGGGAAGAAGTCAGTCCCACATTGAAATCTCAGTCACAAAAGGTAAGTGACCAACTAATTATATATATATATATTAATATTACTAATTTGTTTTTCTGTATACACTAACCCTTTCTAACACCCATGTCACACTCTCCATACCCTTCTCTTCCCATACATATCCTCTTCTCACTAAATCCATGCCCCCTTTCTGTCATATTCCCTCCGCATGCCTTTTTCCTTTCCAACTGTTATTTTTTTTCCCCCAAGGTTTCATAGCAGTTAGCAAATATGTTAACTTTGGACTTTTCTTTAATAACTGTAAGGGTTATTCACTAACTCTGTGTGAGCTATCAGGCATTAAAGGAACATTTAGAGTGTGCCATTCCTTCAATTTATAAAAGAGCCAATTTCAAAAGAAATCAGCATTTTTTAATAAAATTTTTTCATTTTTTTTTTATAAATTACTGCTGTAATGCCTCCCTGGCTGTCAATCACCATATCCCTATCTTTGCATTCTCCACAGAGGGGCTCCAATGCTCACCCTGCTAATACTTCTAAATGAGCTGTACTACAGCTTGTTGAGAAGTGTGTCAATGAAAATCTGTATGCTTGTCCCTGCGGCTCAACCAATAGAAAGCCTTTGATTAGTCAATCCTTTTAGTCTTTGCCTGAATCTCGGGAAAATTAAAAGACTTGCGGTAGTTACAGAAACTAGCTCTGCAGCTATTACAAATGAATTTTTTTTTTAGCCTTCCAAAGAAGAAGTAGCCGAAGAAAACACATGCATGTTCTCTTTGCTGGTAAATCTACTAAATTGCTAACATATATTGTTTACAATGGAATGCACTATTAAGGTAAAAAAATTTACGTCAAATTAGTCTTAAAATGATGTTTTTAGTTACAATTACCTTACATGAATCTAGGTCTATTTCAAACGGTTTATTATGATTGACAAGTAAATGTTGTGTTAATGTGTTCTTAATCTTAATCTCTGTTTTGCAGCACACGCAATGAAAGGTTTGTGGGCTATTATTCTCGTTTCGGTCCTTGCAGTAATTGGTCTTGGTTCATTTCTCATCTGGTGGGTAAAAAGGAGAAAGGGTGAGGAAACCTTAACAAAGGAATAAAAAATATCTGACAAAATGTATGAAAAATATATATACTTGTAATGCACATAAAAGCATGAACTCGATTTAGCTTTCATGTGCATTTCAGTGTTCAAAATCAGCACTACAAATGATCACATAGTAAAAGAGTGAAGGCACGCAGAGATTCTATAGCAGTTTAATTAACAAAAAGGAAAAATACAATGTTATGACGGTGCAAACACTTTTTTTTGTCTCAGGCATTCACAAGGTGTCTTCTTTGTGTGTGATTATCATTTTTTTTCTTCTCTAAGCAATGAGGGTGTCTCAAATTTCAGATGTTAGCAAATAGTTATCTTAATTTCTTCCATGTCGTAAAACCTTATAATATCTGGCGCAAATAGATTGCTATATGTCTTAAAACTTCATAATTTCTGGTACTAATATATTGCTATATGTTTTATGTTTATTATCTACTCAATATTTGTTACAGCCATGTAGTGAATATTTCTAAATTGCGGCTAAATTGTTTTTGACAACCTATCATATAGCATTTCCCAATTAGATTTCAAATGTTTTAGTATTGATGTGTGTAAATCCATTCACTGTATTATACTGTTTTATTAATAAACAACATTATGCTTGGAAAGATTGTATAGAACCTGAAAATTTAAGAAATATTGAAATATTTCTCTCTAATTAAAGTTTTTAAATTCCATGTAACTGATTCTACAATTTGTGATTACTTCAGGGGTACAGAGAGAAAATAAAAGGGTCAAGATGATCAATGCTGTTCAGGAAACAAACAATGTAACAGCATTTTCAAGAATTTAATACAGAGCATAGAATTCCCTTCTACAGGGCAGCAGTACTTTATAGGATGGATAAACGTTTAAACGTCTGAGCAGCAAAATACAATGACGTTTATGATACTTAACACTTCTCTGGGGGACTTCTGCCTTAGAAGGGGTTATTTAATAGTTGCAGTCTTAGTTTAATGTAATGCAACTAGCATAAATGGCCACTAGGTGCCGCCAGGTACTTGCTATAGGCATTGATATAGTTCTTCATAGCCCTTTTGCAATGTAATGCAGTTAACAGGAATGGCCACTTGATGGGACCAGATAACTGCTTAAACAGTGATTTGGTTAACTCGCTTGTAGAATGTAACCTTCAGGGAATCTAAAAAGAATTAAAGAACATAGTGTGAATCTGTGTTGAGAATATGTAATTAGTGGGAAACCGCAGGATTTAATTTAGTGGTTGTCTTCCCAGAAGAGGTTGACAAATGTCATAACTTTTAATAATCTTAAATAGTAAAAGAAAGATGATTTTAATAATATTTTAAAACACAAAATAACTGTAAAAACATTAACACCAACACGTTTCACCTTCACTGAGATTATCAAGGAGTATTTTTATTGACCACTTAAAGAAAACTGTATAGTATAATAGAATTTGATTCCAAAATGTATTTACAAGGGCAAACCTTATATCTTCTGGTTTTGTATTTTACAGGCCACTTTAAGAGTGCCCTCGAGCTTCCTGGCATTTTTTTTGATTCAGAGTGCTGCAGATGGCCTACTGAGTCATTGACTCAGTATCAGAATCTTGAGGGCACTCTGAAAGTCTTCTGTGCCAGATATTGGTGCAGACAATATTCAGAAATTCAGCTCACTCTTCACTGGACTGCCATGAATCCTACTCACCCTTCATTGGTCTACCAGGGAAGGTAAGCAGGAGGTGGGGAAACATACACACACACACACACACACACACAATAATCAGGCTCTCCAACACACACCTCTCATCCTCCTCCACACTCAACACTCACACACAATACACACCCTTACACACACAATAATCAGGCTCCCCAACACACACAAATCAGCCACCACACACACAACACTCAACCAGCACACACATGTACACTCGACCTCCCCATACACCTCTCATCCTCCTCCACACACAACACCCACACACAACACACACCCTTACACACACAACATGCAATCAACACAACACTCACCTGGCTCAAGTGCTGTCTTTCTTACTTCTCAGGAACTGTGATTTCCAGTAACATGACCATGGCACTCCCTCACTTACCTTCTCATTCCCTCCTCATTCCCTTTATATTCCACCAATATCTGCAACTCCCTGTTTCCTTATTTAGCACTGTGTTAGCATGCACAAATTAGTGCAAGCAGGGCAAAGAAAGATAAAGATGGGCCTCTGGTGCAAGAGAAGTATAAGGAAAATAAATTAAAATTAAATTAGAATATTAACTCTTCCACACCTAGTAGTAACATGGAATTTGTTGATGCCCTGTTGTCAGCCATCTTGTAGAATCTGCTAAGTGCTTTTGTCAGCTTTTCTCAGTTTGCTATCAGCCATTTTCTAGAATACATCTGTGGGTTTTTTTTTCATTTTTGGTTCTAATTTTCTTCTATTTAAAGACTAATTTTTGCTTTTTAAAGAGTTCACTGCAATTATTTTGTGATATATTTATCTTAAGGGGAAGTGTAGCTGTGCTCAAAAGCATCAGGGTGTGTGACTTGTGGTGAATGATTATGTTGTGAATAACATAGAATAGGAGGAAAGGGGAATGGATGTTTGAATTTACTTCAGGTTTTTTTTTTTTAATGCTTAGTCAGATATTCTGTAATGCTTATATTGTAAGAATACTGGCCATGTGTTATCTTTTGACATGGTCAATGTTCCTCTATTATCTGTGGATAAAATTGTTACATTTATTGTCATGTTAGATTTTTGCTTTTCGAAAAATCTCAGTGTCAGGGTTTCTGCACACGTTCAATAAAATGTTTTTACTGGACATGTTGGTATCTTTGGTGGCAACACTAACACAAGCTTATATTCTTGGCATCATGGTTCCCACTTCAACATTTTACCCACCAGTGTCTCTCTTGCCCTGCCAGGCACTCCTTTCTCCCTTGAGATCCAATCACATTTCCAGGTAACTCTTGCACTTTTGCAAGACAGCCATTTGCCATTTTGCACCCTACTCATTTCATACCACAAAGCCCCCTCCCTATATCCACCAAGGGCTCTAGATACCTTTTCCAGATCCCCTCAGCTGTACCCATGGCGTTTCTTTTTAGGTCTCACCTTAAGTTATCAATATTTGGGGCTGCCCATTGCTGCTCAGGCTAATGCTTCCTCATTAGCACAAGCAGCACAGATTGGATGGGCTGCTGGGGGACTCTTGTTTAAACTAAAAACGTAAAAAATGGTAATAAATAAATAAATAAAAATATGCAGCTTCCAATCCTTGTGATTATTTTAAAATACATTCAGCCAATCACAATGCAGCACTCCCCAAGTCATGAAATAACTCTCACAAGGTTTTATTGGAACCCCATGGCTGTAATTAAAAGGACACTGTAGTCACCAAAACAATATAACTTAATGAAGCTGTTTTTGTGTATAGATTATACCCCTGCAGTCTCACTGCTCAATTCTCTGCCATATGGGAGTTAAATCACTCTTGTTTCTCTTTATGCAGCACTAGCAACACCTTCCTTGGCTGTGACTGACACAGCCTGCATGATTATGATTTTTCTCACCTTGATGGCTTGACAAAAATCAACTTCAATTGAGTGCACATTCATAGTTAGATGGTTAAAAAGCTCAAACCGAAGCTTGCCATGCATAGGTGAATCACAGATTAACTCTCATCAACAGAACAGTATCCCCAATTGGATAACAAAACATGCCACCACTATATAAGCAAAAAGTACCTCCCCCCCCAAAAAATAAAATAAAATAAAAAAATAAGACCATTAATGTATATAAAGAAAAATATTATTAAAGTCAGTGGTATCACTAATTACAAATTACATGACTTCAATATATATTGATCGTGGTTTTAGCACAGAGCCACATCCACAGAGCCACAAGCTATAGGCTGAGTTTACTATCTTAGTCTACATAGTAATCCACAAGTCAAGTAAGACTGAGGAAGAGAACTATTGTCCAGAAGGAAAATTGATCTAAATACAAAGCCAAATTTATACTGGATTATAATCAAGAAACAGAATGTCTCAAAAAGATCCAGTGGAAACCAGACCTTAATCTAACTTAACAGTCCTTGAGCCCCTTCAAAATATTGGTTACATTGTGTCATAGAAATAGCAAAAATCCCAATAAAGTTATTTTTAATGCTACAATGTGACATGTTCAGGAAGAGTAAGTCGTTATGCTGTGTAACGGATCCCCTATACTCCGACTGAGTATAGCCGTTGTGAATCTCCCATTTCCCAAGCGAAGCAGTGATTACAGTTCTTGGCTGCCCAAACATTAGCCGAGACTTGATGAAGGGTACAACAGAATCTGTTTATTGAAGGCCAGATACACAGTATTTATGCAGGGGGTCTCCATCCACAGTAAGGTATAACATAATCTGCCCCGGCAACGCTATGTCCTGGAGATAAGGGTATCTCCCAGACCCAGGAAGCTGACACACAAAAACCCACAAAATATGCATAATGCAATAATGCACCCCCACTTGCCTTATATCACTGAACAGCTCCTGGTCCCAGCTATGATCCCTGCAACTTTCAGGGCGATCGGATGTACAGAGTCCCATAAATCGTTGAACAAAGTCTGTGCTTGAGACTCTGTCCCAAAAATGGTTCCATAAGATCCCTTGGTTTAGGCCGGTGAATTAAACTTTCGTGCCTACCAAGCAGCGGCCAATCCAGAAAAAGGGTGCAAACACGTAGCGGCTGATCAGTGCTGAGGGAGGGGAGGTGTTTTGCCAGCCAATCGGGAGAAAGGGCGCAAAACCAATTTGAATGGGGTTGAAAAACAGGGAGCTGGGACACAGGGGTGAACTGATGGTGGAAACGAGCAGTATATAGTCTTTTGGGGGAACATGGGATGTTACCTGGGTGACACAGTTTATTACACGGCTACATAGGGGACACAGTTTGTGACATGCTAGTTATTGTATCTTTGTTTCCTGTCATCTTATTCTTAAGACTCTTCTATAACCTCCATATTTTAACACACATCATTTCATACTGTTCAGTTTAGCAGAATCTTCCGTTCCAAGCCCACAAAAAATAATTCAAGCACTGGATTATATATTTTCTCAGTTTGCTTGTTACTTTTTAACAGAAACTTTTACAGGCAAACGGCAGAAGAAGACTGTTTTGTGGTGCTGAACTCACTGCTGAGTGAGCGAGTTGCCAATCTCGTGTTTCCGGGGTGAGATGTTAAAGGCTAGATTTGACAGCTTAGATTCCTTTTTATCTTTGGGAAAAAAAATAGAGGAAGTTCCACAAAAAGCAAACTTAATAACCATACAGGGAGTGCAGAATTATTAGGCAAATGAGTATTTTGACCACATCATCCTCTTTATGCATGTTGTCTTACTCCAAGCTGTATAGGCTCGAAAGCCTACTACCAATTAAGCATATTAGGTGATGTGCATCTCTGTAATGAGAAGGGGTGTAGTCTAATGACATCAACACCCTATATCAGGTGTGCATAATTATTAGGCAACCTCCTTTCCTTTGGCAAAATGGGTCAAAAGAAGGACTTGACAGGCTCAGAAAAGTCAAAAATAGTGAGATATCTTGCAGAGGGATGCAGCACTCTTAAAATTTCAAAGCTTCTGAAGCGTGATCATCGAACAATCAAGCGTTTCATTCAAAATAGTCAACAGGGTTGCAAGAAGTGTGTGGAAAAACCAAGGCGCAAAATAACTGCCCATGAACTGAGAAAAGTCAAGCGTGCAGCTGCCACGATGCCACTTGCCACCAGTTTAGCCATATTTCAGAGCTGCAACATCACTGGAGTGCCCAAAAGCACAAGGTGTGCAATACTCAGAGACATGGCCAAGGTAAGAAAGGCTGAAAGACGGCCACCACTGAACAAGACACACAAGCTGAAACGTCAAGACTGGGCCAAGAAATATCTCAAGACTGATTTTTTCTAAGGTTTTATGGACTGATGAAATGAGAGTGAGTCTTGATGGGCCAGATGGATGGGCCCGTGGCTGGATTGGTAAAGGGCAGAGAGCTCCAGTCCGACTCAGGCGCCAGCAAGGTGGAGGTGGAGTACTGGTTTGGGCTGGTATCATCAAAGATGAGCTTGTAGGGCCTTTTCAGGTTGAGGATGGAGTCAAGCTCAACTCCCAGTCCTACTGCCAGTTCCTGGAAGACACCTTCTTCAAGCAGTGGTACAGGAAGAAGTCTGCATCCTTCAAGAAAAACATGATTTTCATGCAGGACAGTGCTCCATCACACGCGTCCAAGTACTCCACAGCGTGGCTGGCAAGAAAGGGTATAAAGAAGAAAATCTAATGACATGGCCTCCTTGTTCACCTGATCTGAACCCCATTGAGAACCTGTGGTCCATCATCAAATGTGAGATTTACAAGGAGGGAAAACGGTACACCTCTCTGAACAGTGTCTGGGAGGCTGTGGTTGCTGCTGCACGCAATGTTGATGGTGAACAGATCAAAACACTGACAGAATCCATGGATGGCAGGCTTTTGAGTGTCCTTGCAAAGAAAGGTAGCTATATTGGTCACTGATTTGTTTTGTTTTTGAATGTCAGAAATGTATATTTGTGAATGTTGAGATGTTATATTGGTTTCACTGGTAATAATAAATAATTGAAATGGGTATATATTTGTTTTTTGTTAAGTTGCCTAATAATTATGCACAGTATTAGTCACCTGCACACACAGATATCCCCCTAACATAGCTAAAACTAAAAACAAACTAAAAACTACTTCCAAAAATATTCAGCTTTGATATTAATGAGTTTTTTGGGTTCATTGAGAACATGGTTGTTGTTCAATAATAAAATTAATCCTCAAAAATACAACTTGCCTAATTCTGCACTGCCTGTATAAGGAGTTTGAATGCTTTTCTTTTAAATGAAGTGTCATTCAACTTATACATATTGCAGTGTTCATTAGTACTGCAACTATTACCTTTGCCAAATATGACCCTTTGGTATTATATGAGGAATAAAATTAGAATTTTAGAACATTTCACAATTTTCACAATTTTAGCTCCATTAGGTAAACCACAGTGAGCTTTTTGTTCATGGTCTCAAAAATGCAATTTTATTGGTGAAAACGCTACATGCCAGGTGTAAGGTCTACCTGCACAAGTGCTGCCAGGAATATTAATGAATTTATTGCTGCCGGACGCTCTCTTCTGTGCTCAATCCCCTGCCCTCTACTGTGCTCAATGTACTACCCTCTACTTTGGTACTGCAAGTGACAGTAATTTAGGTTTTAATAATGTAAGGTCTGAGCATTTAATGAGAGAGTTGATTTTCTCTCTCCTTTTACGATTTCCAATAAACATTTATTATTTTTTTTTTTTTAATGTCGTGATCTTTGGATTCCCCTGAAAAACAGGACTTCCCCAGTGAGTGGCATCTCTTCTTTCTTCACTCTAGGGGCTGTGGAATGGAGAGTAAGGTAGATGGAGACTGGTCTGTTCTTCCCTTATATAATTCTATATAAAACCACCCACGTAGAATTACTGTGTACCCACCTCTCACAGTTTTTAATGATGCACAGTTTTTTATCTGTATCTACCACTAGAGAGGCATACCTTCCCAGCCTCCCTTAGCTGTGTGTTTTCTGTTATAGATTGTGGTGAGACCTCGACTGCAGTCCTTTGATTAGGTTCTTCTCTACTTGATTCCTGTCTTTACAGCTAATAGAAATTGTCTCTAAACCTACAAACCAGACGTTGGCCTTTAAACAAACCTTCCAAACGTTTCAAAACCGTTACAAAAACGTTCTAAATGATGTAACAGTTGACTTTCCATAGACTTTAATGTTGACTTCTGTAGATAAATAATTTGGAATGTTTTTTTTAACATTATTGGATTATTTCAAAACTTATTAAATTGAGGTTGTAGTTAGTAGTTTTGAGCTTTAACCTTCATTTTGATGTTTCGGAATATGCAGATTTTGGGCATCTTATTGCATTTTCTGAACAATCCCTTTTTCTTTTTTTCTGCTTTTATTTATTTTTTATTACATTGATACTCTTTACCTTCTATGACTATTTGATATCCCTTTGGACAGGCCAACATTGACTAGTACCAAATCCAAGAGTCTATAACTCACACACAGCATCCACATGCCAGAACTTCATTGATGAGAGCAAGTAGGACAAAAAGAAGATAGACCGTCGACCCAGCAACTGTATCAGTGGCTCTTTCAGCTACATCAGGAATGAAACAGCATTTCCAGGAGAAGGCGCTGCGTGCACTGAAACATGCGTATAACCTTAAGTTATTTATTTAAGTGTCATGTGAGGGTAAAGGGGTTGATTGTGAGCGGGCTCTTAGTGGTCGAGCATATTTGGCTAACAAACAATATATTTCAAGAAGCCAAACTTTCTGTGCTCAGCATGGTAGATTAGTCAGAGTGTGTTAGTAGCCTAGGATCAGCTCTAGAAGCAGGTGTTAGCTCATCTTTATATTTGTGTCAGTGGACCAGGTATCTTAGCACTGCCCTTTCCTTTCTGAAACTATAAGATTCCAATACTCTACTATCTATTTGATGCTCTGACTGATCAGCTCCTTGATTTTTTTTCCCCACAGTTCTAAACAAATTATGGCCCTTAATTTAATATTGTTGGATACGTTTTTTACAATTATTTAATATGTTTGGATAAACTTTTCAAATGATTTAATACATTTAGGGGTGTACTCACTTTTGTTGCCAATGGTTTATACATTAATGGCTGTGTGTTGAGTTATTTTGAGGAAACAGCAAAGTTACACTGTTATAGAGGCTGTACACTTACTACTTTACATTGTAGCAGAGTGTCATTTCTTCGGTGTTGTTACATGAAAAGATATAATAAAATATTTACAAAAATGTGAGGGGTGTACTCACTTTTGTGAGATACTGTATTTATTACAGCATTCCCCACAGGGGGTCATCAACATTCACAATGGGTGCCTTACCATACAACAGGGCTCTGTACAGTGGTTATCCCCAAACATAGGATTCCCCATACACAATAGTGACATGCTATACATCCCCGGAGAGCGCTAGCTCCCTAGAGTTAAATGTCCAAGAACCAGGATTAGAAGAATCCAGCATGAGTAATTAGCTAGAGTTCTGGCGAGGCTGTGGCTAACCTCCGATCTGATGCAGAGTTCCAGGCTGCCGAGGGTTCGATAATGGTCAAAAGCAACAAAGCTCTGTGAAAGCGGGTTCATCCATCTCTAAATGTTTTTAGAAAGCCCTTCACCTCCTCTCCAATTAGTGCTCCCCTGGTAACCTTTTGGCTTGAGTGGTGCAATATGCAAATTATACTGTCAGTCACATTTGTATATATCCGAGTTAGAGTTCCAGAAAGACTGCAAGCATTCCTGCTGATGGGGTTCCGACTGTGCCGGTAACGATGAGTGGTCCCAGGAGTTGCTTTCACAGCACTCTGCTTCAGGGGAGGCATTGGGGCAGGAGGGGAAGGGAAGAAGGGTGATTGTAAGCTCTTTTGGGGAGTTTTCTTTCAGTCCTGCACCAATTGTTAGAGCAATCGGAGCAGGCTCAGTCACAGCGCCAACATTTTGATAAAGGGAGATATCTGAAAACGAGTAATTCACATACAAAATGTTGACAATGACAAAAGTTGAAGAAGCCCCAGCTCAAATAGGCTTTCAATCTATGAGGAATGGGTAAAGAGACACAAGAATAAGAACAGCAATTCAGTGGAGAGGTGGGACTGATCAATAAGATGCCAATGACAAAATCAGCTTGTAAAAGTAGTGTACAGATGAACAGAAGAATAGAAGGAGAGAAAGTAAAATGACTTTGAAAGTCATTTTACTTTCTCTCCTTCTATACTGTACCCCCCCATAGCCTACCTACCAATGAGCTACCAACGTACTTTACGATTGAGTTGGCAGTAACCAACTTACCATATACCAACCTACATGTTCATAGAGTCCCATGTGCTGATTAGCTGTGAACTGTGTGACATGTGTGTACACTGATTCCTCAGTACTCCTTTCGGTACTCTGTAACAACTCCACAATGATTCTTATCATTATTGCTCATTATTGTTTATGAGCTTGTACCAAGAAACTTATTTGTTGAATAAAAAAAAAAAAAAGTTAATACTAAGTCCACTCAAACATATATTTGTGTTTAAGCTGCTCACACTCCACACACTATGCAAAGCAAATAGGGGAATCAGGATGTGAGACTGCTGCTATATGAAGCCCATTTGACGGGCAATGTTTTTTTATTTTGTAGATGAAATTCTTTTTTTTTTTTTTTTATAGTGGAATGTGTATAGGTATACAAATTTGAACATTGTATATTTAAAGTAACACAGCACGAGATTTATGGCACTTTATTAATTATGCACTTTTATACATTTAAAGTGATACATCACTGGATATAATAGCACTTTATTGAGTTTCACTTTAGAGAGTTTTACAGCTCTACACATTTTAGTGGTTGATGTTATTTGCTTTTGCAAGACCTCCCCTTTTTCCCCAGCCCAGACTTCCTGGGGCTGTCCAATCACAGACTTACCAGTGCACTTCAAGGAGAAGTCTTTGCAAGGCAGGTGCTCTGAGCAATTGACTGTCTTTTGATTTTAACTCCATTGAGCTATATATCCAGGAAGTAACAAGACATGTTAGCTGCTTTAAAGCCAGGGGCTTGTAACATGGCTAATATACAAAAGTGCAAATTTCCATTAAAATCTACACTTTTAGTAAAATGAAAAAAAGGACATATCCTTCACATATAAAGAATTTCAGCAAGCTAAAGTGCTTTTGGATCTGGAGTATCCATTTAAACTCCAGTTCTTAACCTCTGACTCATTGAAAGGTCATGTCCTGTTTATCATCATAAACTTACAAATGCACCTATTTAGGAAACTTTAAAGATTCCTGACTCCAACCCCTGTACCCAGAATGTTATCAGAGCAACCAGTTATTTTAGTTGAGTACTTATATTGGCAAACATTGCAAGGTCAAAGAGCTTTAAAGCCATAGACATCTATAAGGTTTCTCATATGGCTTCTCAGTTTGCCCTCGTGGCATCCTAAACATCCTTAAACATCCAGAAAATTCACCAAAAATAACAGCTGTTCTGGATGTAATTAACATCACATCCTCTACATGTTATTCTTCCTCTTGTTAAAATTCATCTCCTCTTAGTTGTAAAAACCATTCAGCGAGGTCTTAGTTAACCCCTTTCCCTCTCCGATTCATTGTTTTATCCACTGTGTAAAATTGTAAAAAGTTGGGGAATATGTCGTCGCTATATAATGATGAATGGCGAGGACGAATGATAAGGACTGATTACGAACGATGCTGATGACGAATGAATGATGACAATGTGTGAATGCAAAAACAATAATAGCTGTACCCTTCTGGATATCATGAGAGACTACAGACTACTAAGCAAACATAATAACAATATTTTCTCAGATGGCAATGCATTATTTATAAATACATATCTGAGAGGCGAGAGAACCTAAATGAACAAGAAAAGAAAATCTGAAATAAAGACGAGATCACTAGTCGGTGTTTGCGGCAGGTTCTTAATTGAGAAATAACAAAACATGTATGTTATATATGTATATATTGGTAATTTCACCCTTAAACCACTTCTACTGATGATGTCTACCTAACATGACTTTTGAATGGTGGTTTACTCCAACAGGTTAAATGAACTGTGAGTGCTATGGAAATTATACAAATGTAATTTGCAATTAAATTGCTATGCTACAGAAATTAGAGGACTTGTACTGCACAAATCCTTATTCAAAATATTTTAGGATTTAATGTTTTGTCTGCTGTACTTCAGTCCAATAGAAATTTTTTTGACATGCAAGTGCTCCACGCTTCTGGATATAAAACATAAGAAAATGGATCAGGTACAAATATCTGGCATAAATATGAAATCAAATGTAACGCTTTTAAAAAAAAAAAAAAAAAAGAACCAATATACCAATATAGGATAGATACAGGGTGCCATTTATCAATTATCAGTGTATTGTGATAAGTCAATGCTATATATTAATGTCATAAAGCAATGAGTAGACAGATATGCATTCAACATTGTAATTTATTCTTTGTATTGTGATGCAAACAGAAGTTTTGGTCGTGTCGTCGTCTCCTCTTCCCCCCACCCCCCACTCCCCGTCCCTTTTTTCCTTCTGTACCCCATTTCACTTTTCTGAAAATAAAACTTTAAATAAATAAAAAAAATAACCAATGTGTTCTGTTTCTTCTCTTCCGATGCATTGTGTGCCCTGGCTGTGCCTGAACTGGAAGGGATTGTGATGTCCAGTGGTGGCTAGTAAAGTGTTTCAATGGTTGGGCACTAGGTTGTGTGAAAAGACAGCAGGTTGTAATGGTTATGGTTCTTGGAGAGTTCTTTAACCCATTAAATAAACTTCCCTAACCGTAATAGCGATATAGGCTTTGATTAAATTTTTTTGGAATAAGCTTTTCAAATATTCTTTTCCATTTGTGAATACAGCAATGTAGATGAAATATCAATTTAGGCAAAGAACTGATTACATTCACATTTCTTCTCCCATGAACATATGCAGATGTTGTCTCTATATTAGGTTATAAAGGATGGATTAAACCACCACAGATGTCCTTATATTCTCCGAAAGAAGGACTAGTTATATATTACTACCGGTAACATGGGTGCAGTTAATAATTTCTGTAAAGCCTGTTTGTTCTAAGAGTAAGGGGAATTATCCGTAGGCTTGTGGAACGTAAATCTTAGTCCAGATGTTCTAAGATCCTTATCTTTATTCTTTAGGGCTAAAGCATGTCCAGTGCACTTTGTCATTGCTATTGTTCAAGTTCCGTTCACATTTTTGTCAAATTTCTACAGAAGATTATAGGAATCACCTAGATGCTCTTGATCATGACCTTTTTAAATGTGGATATCCCCTTAAGCTGAAATAACAAAAGCCCATCAGGCTGAGGATAATATGTATTCCTAAACACATCGCGTGCAACTATTGTGAAAGAGTAAAACAGAAGACAGCTGCACTGCTGATGGCCTCTTTTCCACAAACATATGTCCCCCTGGAAGATGGAACATTAAACAAACTGTCACGAGTCATGTTATTGATGGTGTAACAGTGTGCAATAATTGGAGGACACAAAAGCTTTAACAATAAACAAAATAACTTTATTATTATCAGTCTTGGCATTGGCTGTAACACCTGAGTCCAGATTGTTACCTTAAGGTGAGAAGTAGGTCAGAACCTCAATTACTAGAACCGATCACGTTTATCGCAGTTTTTTGGCTCCCGATAACCTGTCATGACAGATATAGGTTTGCAGTATTCTAACCATCTGGCTTGCCTCATAGTATACAATTAAGTCTTACTTCCATTAACACTATTACACGGTCATATTCTAATTGATTTCCTTTACCCCAGTCTCTTGCTGACAAGCCTCTCCTGCAGACTTGCTTCCCATAAAAGCTTAAAATTCCAGACAGTTAATGTTGCCTTTCTAAAGATTGTAAGCTCACGGGCAGAGCCCTCTACCCTTTGTATTGTTCAACTTATATTGTACTTTCTTTTTACCCAATTGTACAGAGCTGCGGAACATGTTGGCACCTTATAAATGGCAGTAATAAGTAAACAATAAATAAAAATAAAGTTACTGAAAAAAATCATGTTGTCTCTTTCTCTCCTCTACCTGCTGCTCTCACACAGAACCTGCCCCTCCTCCCTCCTTCCCCTTGCATGCATTACCCTTAGGACAAATTCAAGTAGGAGAGATGTCCAGTGGAGAGTTTTGCAGATAACAGACATGCAGAGCAAAGCCTTTTTATCTCTGTGCTGATCGGCACAAGTTCAGAACAAATTGAACTAAGTGAGAGGAGGGGTAAAGGGGCTGTATTTTTAACGTCTGATTGAAGAGAAATCTAGATATTTGCTAGCAAATTCTGCTAACACAATGTATTAGAATGTGACTCTCTATCATTTAAAGGACCACTATAGTGCCAGGAAAACATACTTGTTTTCCTGGCACTATAGTGCCCTGAGGGTGCCCCCACCCTCAGGGTCCCACTCCCGCCGGGCTGGATGGCGAGGAAAGGCGTTAAACTTACCTTTTTTTCAGCGCCGGGCGGGGAGCTCTCCTCCTCCTCTCCGCCTCCTCTCCTCCTCTTTGGCTGAATGCGCATGCGTGGCAGGACCAGCACGCGCATTCAGCCAGTCCATAGGAAAGCATTCTCAATGCTTTCCTATGGACGCTGGCGTCTTCTCACTGTGAAAATCACAGTGAGAAGCGCGGAAGCCCTCTAGTGGCTGTCAATGAGACAGTCACTAGAGGCTGGATTAACCCATTTATAAACAGAGCAGTTTCTTTGAAACTGCTATGTTTATAGAAAAAAGGGTTAACCCTAGCTGGACCTGGCATCCAGACCACTTCATTAAGCTGAAGTGGTCTGGGTGCCTATAGTGGTCCTTTAAAATTAAGTTGTACTTGTTATCAAAGGTATCCTTTAATAGTATGGATTGATTAAATTACCACAATTGAAGGGTGCCAATAATTAATAGTATAGGTATATTTTACATTAAAAATATCAGCTTTGGTAAAATTCCATTTATCAGGCACATAATCCCTATAAATTGCCTCATTGAATTAAAAAGCTAAAAGTAGTTAATAAATGCTTTTTTTGTTTTTGTTTTGCACTAGCAGACAGTGGGCAAATAGTTAGAAAAAAACCGAAAAAAAAACTTATGGTGTCGATATGACCCCACATTAGTGTAAAGGAGTTTTAATACATTTTTGAAGTTGTGCTTGCTTGAACACTATTACTTCATTATGCTTTTAAAATTATATAATAATTTAGAGGACACATAACTGCTCGGGTGAATGTTTTGGAAAAAAATTGTGAAGTTAACAGTTTTCTTGTTTTCTAAAAAAGAGGTGGATTTAACCAACAACCTATGAATATTAGGAAATTGCTTGTACCAATAACGGTACAAAGTATTCCATAAAAGTCTCACCCTAACAGCAGCATTAAGACAACTGGATATTTGCCAGCCTAAATAAGTAAATATGACATATCTCCAGCTGATATAAATCAAGTTCAATATACACTGTGAGATTATATAGATGTAAGTATTAACAATCCTTCCTTCTTTTAACATTTAAAATATGCCATATGGAATCTCTCTAAGAAAAAGTGATGATTGAAATTCAAAAGAAAAGGAGTGTCCCGCATAAATTACGATATGATTAAGTAAGAAAGAAATCTTTTATAAACCTTTTTTGGCAAAACACACGAAATGCATAGAACATTGAAGGCTGATTTAAATAAAGAAAATACTTGATATTTATTTTAGTGAAAATGTTTAAACTTAGACACAGGAGATACAGGCCATATACATCAGTTTTAAACATATATATATATATATATATATATATATATATCTCAAAAATCACAATATATACAACTGCATGGAATGGAGGTTCACCACTGGAGAGTTGTATGGCTTGTATGGGGAAAGAGAGGGAGAACTGGAGGCTATTTTCATGCCTCTCAGGCATGTTCTCTCTCTTGCAAGTGGACTACCAGGGAATATCAGGTACCCACCTCCCAGGCCATAGGTAAGAGGTAAAAAAGGGGGGGGGGATCTCTAAATAAAACTGACATAATATAAAAAACAACCGCTCCCTTATACAGACACTGCACCCACAAAACACACACTGTATCCACTATACATAGATATACTGTGACATACTGTATACCTCAGACAGAGGGCCTATGAAAGACTATTTTGCAACCTAGGCAATACCAGCTACTTGCACCCTCCCCCCGCCCCCTCAAACCACCCAAAAAAAAATGACCAACTTTGTGTGTCTCTTTCTACACCCAGTCCCCTGTGTGTCTCTTTATCCCCAACTCATTATCTCTTTATCCCCAACTTTGTTTGTACCCCCAGCCCCTGTGTGTTTGTCTTTGTCCCCCCAGCCCCTCTGTATCTCTTTGTCACCCCAGCCCCTCTGTGACTCTTTGTCACCTAGCCCCTCTGTGTGTCTTTATTTCCCCCAGCCCCACTGTATCCCCTATCCCCTCTGTGTCTTTGTTCCCCCAGCCCCATCTGTATGCTTCTTTGCTCCCCCCAGCTCCACAGTGAATCTCTTTGCCCCCCATTCAGTCCCTCTGTGTGTCTCTTCACCCCTCAATCCCATTTATATTTTTATTTGCCCCCTCGCTGTCCAGAAGAATGCAGTTCTAAGAACAGCTAAGACACTGCTCAGAACCTTCAGACTCCCAGGCCACTGGGATAATGAGGAATAAATATATATATATTTTTTTTAATTTGTATTTATTTATTTCTGGTCTGCCGCATCCTTTATTTATTTTTTTGGACTCAGTTGTAGCTGCGTGGCTTTTTTTTCACCTGATATGAGCCCAACAGTGTAGCAGATCAATGTGTTACCTTTTAGCAACTATGCATGCAATTATGAGCACAGCTGTTACTAAGTATTTTATTAATTCCTTTTTGACTATATTGTTGTAACATTATATGACAGTTGTGAATGAATAACTTATATTTAGTTTTATACATACCTAATATTTTAGTTTTATTCATATTTTGTGCTATGCTTATATCTGAATTTTATTAAAGTCTTTTGATTGCTTTTGTGCGAATCCACTTTATATTTTGTTTGGTTTGACATCTGGCCTTCATTACCCAGTATCATGGAGGCTTATGGATAAGTGGCTTAAGACATATTTGTTATGTTTAAGTATTACTGTTTTGATGTAATATACACAAATTCCTTGTCTTTAAAAGAATGTAATGCCTGTGATGGAAAACAGCGGAATGGGTGATTACTTACAGAATGTATAAGGCATGATGAATAACTACAATTATTTTATTATAATAATGAAATGTATGCTTCATTTTCTTTTATGAGGTCAGGGTGTCCAAGAGCAATAATGAGGGATGTTGGGAAATGAAAAATCCCTCGTTATGTATTTCACTAGCAGTGACCACATTATGGTGAAAACATGGGACCGCAAGAATTCTTGAGAAATCATTAAAACAAAAACACATGTCTAAAGATTTTTTTTTATCATGCACACTAATAAAATCTTCAAAACCAATAACAAATGAGAAAATGTTGCTTTGTAGACAATCTTCTGAATTTTGATTTCCGGTGTGTTCCACCACCTACGTATTTAAGTTTCTCTGATAAGGTGTTACCTTTTGTATCATCATTTGCCCAAAACATTGAAAAAGAAACCTCTTAAGTTCTCAGCAGAATTTATTTAGCATTTCCGACAATTAGAAAAAAATGTGATAACTCATTTTCCTTGTCCATGATGGTCAATCTAAAATGTTGCTGATATTCTCCATAGAAATGGCGTTTATACCAAATGGAGGTGCCAGAAGTCCTTCAAATAATAAATAGTGTTTTGCTCATGTCTAATTAGTTGCTCTGCCCCACGTTCTCTTAATTTCATCAGGTTTTGCCATGAGTGTTTCACCAAAATCATATTCCAAACATTCCACAACCTTGTTGTGCTGGTAATGTTACCACCCTAAGTTGGAAATAGTTCATCACACACTCTCCACATTAATAGTCCATGATCGTGAGGTCAACAACAAAATCTCATCCCACCTGCCCTAAACAGACAGATCATAACAGTTGGCGTATGTGCTATTAAAGTGATACTCTTAGTTTATAACCCCTACAGCATGGTACCAGATGTACCTTTGCACCAACCCACTCTGAATGGTTACACTAAGGCAGTCTTGTTAATACTTTTGACTTAACATACCAACAGAAATGAGTGCAAGACAATATATGCTACATGACTACTCCAGAAACAGGAAGCACTTTACGTTTTATGTGTTTGGAGCCTGTAATGTTTATAACAGTTCATAAAAATTTTGATTTCCATAAGAATTTGCACTTTTATGAATCTTTGCTAAAACGTCTATGCAGATGTGAAGCAGAGAGCCAGTGGGATATTAATCTACTTCTGTTAGATCTACAGTGCTAATGAAAAAGAGAAGTATGTTGGGCTAGCGCACACCTGCCTTCCCACTTCTCATTGTCTCAGATGTACTAAAGCTCATTGAGAAGCATAGGAAATATGTTATCATGTCTGATCTCACAGCTTCAGTAGAGGCCTCTCAATGAGAAGCCAATGACAGCAGAATTCCCTGGCGTACACAGACTAAAAATCTGTGTTGGGGAAAAAGTGGAGGGCTTTCAAGCTTTTTTTCCTAAACCACAAAGAAAACATGTAGGAAAATACATCCATGGGTTTTTGGGGGGCAGTTTTATTAAATTGTTAAGAAACAAAAAAAAATTACTGCTTCATTCTCCTCCTCGTTATTATATAATTTCCTCAGATATGCAGCATGGGGAGTTTCCACCAACTTCCGACCATCATGGTTATTCTCTAAAATGAGCATAGTAATTTGGATGATTTGGTGTTAAAGGAACACTCTAGACACCATAAAAACTTCATTGGAATGAAGTTGTTATGGTACCACAAGGTTATTGGCACTTCCTCATCTTTTGGGGTTCCACTTTTCATTAAAGTTTAAACCTCAAAGTTGGCTCTCCAGCTCCATTCCTCATCCACTTTCAGAAAATTAGTTAGAGGAAGCCACAGACTGCCGCCAGGCATGGGTGCTGTTGATTGTTAGTGTAGCGGATGGCACTAGGCGACCCTACAAAAATACTGTATAAAGCTGCATACGTGTATCTGCTGTAATTTCTGTGTATTTAAAAAGAATTATATTCCTCTGATTGTTCGGTATTTTCATTCCCTTAGTTTATTCGAATGAAACTACCGAACAACCAGACCTCCCTGTGTGAAGTGTGTCCTCAATTACCCGTTGCAACATTGTTGCGAACGGGTAATTGAACAGTAAGTAGCCGTCCTTTGTTCTCGGGGGTGGCCGCCATTCGACAAACGAACACGTGGCGGCGCCATTTTAAAACTCCCGAACAGCGGTGTTTTGCCGTCGAGTGTCTGGAACTAAAATCGGACACTCGAGTAGGCGAACACCGCTGAGACCTCCACAGCCCTGGTCCGTTCGGTTCCAAACTACCGAACGGCCCCTCGTTCGGTAAATAGAGAATACCGAACGAGGGGATTCAGGCGAACCCCCCCTAGCCTCTATAGCTAGAGGCTTTCGTGTATTTTATTCCCTTATGCCAGGACCGACCGCAAGGCCCATTCACATGGAACCGAATTCGGCTATCTCTGTTCGTGCGGTCGGTCATTTTATTCCCTCCATACTTTTCCCGAACCCCTGGTCCGATCTGGGTGATTTTTGGATATGTTGCTCACCCAGATCAGGGCTATCAGGGGGTGTAGGATTTAAAGGGGTACCCCTACGTTTAGGGGTACATCCAGGAAAGGGGGGAATTGGTGTGCTGGATAAGGGGATTATGATGCTGGCTGAGGGGAGGGGATGTGTGGGAGGTTACCAGGACAGGATTGGCTACTGTAATAATTACTGTAAATCCCTCCCTTGCATGGGAGCATGCTTTATAAGGAGACTGTGATTAAAGGCTTGTCAGTTATGCTCCTGAAACTGTGTGTCGTCCAGTTATTGGGATTGCTGTTGGGATATTGCTGTATTTTACCTGCTGGAAACCCTGCCTTTGGATTTACTATTTACTTGTTCCTGAGTCTCACTTGGATTATAAGCGGAGATAACCTGGGTAATATTGCATCTCCGCTACATTGGTTGGCAGCGCTGGGATCCAGACTCACAGAGGAACAAGCCTAAATGGAGTACGGATGGAGATTGATTTTGCCACACTAAAACGCTCCACGCTAAAAGACCTTCTGGAGGCAAGGGGTATCCAAGCCAGCAATAAGACAAAAGCGGCACTTATCACTGAACTGATGGCGGAGTACCGAATGGAAGGCGATTCGGTTCCCGAACAAGGGAATTCGGGAGAAACACCGGAACAAAGGGAGTTCCAGAGGCAGGTACAATTTCGGCTGTCTTTCTATGGGGAACACCCTCCAACAGAGATTATTTCCAAAACGATAACGGAGGTCCAGGAATTATAATGAGGAGTCAAACAGCGGCCCCAGAACGCAGCTCTGCAGTAAATATGCCACATGAAAGTAAGCCGAAAATACCGTACCAGGCTTTTAAAACATATGTGGAGGCAGAGGAAG